GAACAGGAAGTGGTTTCAAAATAAAATAGTGAGTCTGTTATTAGTAACATATGTTGTGCTTTATATACAATATAAAATAAAACTGTAATAATGAGCCTTTGAAAAATAATACTTTTACTTTTACTCAAGTACAAGATCTGAGTACTTCTACTTTTACTCAAGTACAAGATCTGAGTACTTCTACTTTAACTCAAGTACAAGATCTGAGTACTTCTACTTTAACTCAAGTACAAGATCTGAGTACTTCTACTTTAACTCAAGTACAAGGTCTGAGTACTTCTACTTTAACTCAAGTACAAGGTCTGAGTACTTCTACTTTAACTCAAGTACAAGGTCTGAGTACTTCTACTTTAACTCAAGTACAAGATCTGAGTACTTCTACTTTTACTCAAGTACAAGATCTGAGTACTTCTACTTTAACTCAAGTACAAGGTCTGAGTACTTCTACTTTAACTCAAGTACAAGGTCTGAGTACTTCTACTTTAACTCAAGTACAAGGTCTGAGTACTTCTACTTTTACTCAAGTACAAGATCTGAGTACTTCTACTTTAACTCAAGTACAAGGTCTGAGTACTTCTACTTTAACTCAAGTACAAGGTCTGAGTACTTCTACTTTTACTCAAGTACAAGATCTGAGTACTTCTACTTTAACTCAAGTACAAGATCTGAGTACTTCTACTTTAACTCAACTACAAGATCTGAGTACTTCTACTTTAACTCAAGTACAAGATCTGAGTACTTCTACTTTAACTCAAGTACAAGGTCTGAGTACTTCTACTTTAACTCAAGTACAAGGTCTGAGTACTTCTACTTTAACTCAAGTACAAGGTCTGAGTACTTCTACTTTAACTCAAGTACAAGATCTGAGTACTTCTACTTTAACTCAAGTACAAGGTCTGAGTACTTCTACTTTAACTCAAGTACAAGGTCTGAGTACTAATACTTTTACTCAAGTACAAGATCTAAGTACTTCTACTTTAACTCAAGTACAAGGTCTGAGTACTTCTACTTTTACTCAAGTACAAGATCTAAGTACTTCTACTTTAACTCAAGTACAAGGTCTGAGTACTTCTACTTTAACTCAAGTACAAGGTCTGAGTACTAATACTTTTACTCAAGTACAAGATCTAAGTACTTCTACTTTAACTCAAGTACAAGATCTGAGTACTTCTACTTTTACTCAAGTACAAGGTCTAAGTACTTCTACTTTAACTCAAGTACCAGATCTGAGAGAGTCTGATTGGTGGAGGCTTAAAGTCCTCTCCGCTGTGTGCAGGCAGCGTGTGATGTGGTTCTCCATGAATTATTGAACAAGGATGAAACCATGGGTTCTCTGTCAGCAGAGCGGTCAGTGGGTTCTATGCACCTCATGCTTTATGGTTCTACTGATGCAACTCCTTCTTTCCACAATCATACAATATATTTCATATTTATGTCGGAGTTAGTTGTTCTATCTCTCTGTGGATGACTGACAGCTGAGCGTGAAGTCACACCTCCTGATCTCCACATGAATCTGCAGGATCTCTGCATCATCATCATCACTTCCTTCTTCCTCTCGATGAAGAGGAGTTTTGTAAGTGGAGGTGACGCCTGTGACGCTCCCTGTGGGACGCTCCCTGTGGGACGCTCCCTGTGGGACGCTCCCTGTCGGACGCTCCCTGTCGGACGCTCCCTGTGGGACGCTCCCTGTGGGACGCTCCCTGTCGGACGCTCCCTGTGGGACGCTCCCTGTGGGACGCTCCCTGTCGGACGCTCCCTGTGGGACGCTCCCTGTGGGACGCTCCCTGTGGGACGCTCCCTGTCGGACGCTCCCTGTGGGACGCTCCCTGTGGGACGCTCCTTGTGGGACGCTCCCTGTGGGACGCTCCCTGTCGGACGCTCCCTGTGGGACGCTCCCTGTGGGACGCTCCCTGTGGGACGCTCCCTGTGGGACGCTCCCTGTGGGACGCTCCCTGTCGGACGCTCCCTGTGGGACGCTCCCTGTGGGACGCTCCCTGTGGGACGCTCCCTGTGGGACGCTCCCTGTCGGACGCTCCCTGTGGGACGCTCCCTGTGGGACGCTCCCTGTGGGACGCTCCCTGTGGGACGCCTTCCTGTTCAAAGCCTCTCTTTCTTTAAAGGTCCCATGTCATGGCCATTTCTACTGATCATAGTTCCATTGTTGAGGTCTACTAGAACAGATTTACATTGTTCAATGTTCCAAACTCACATTGGTTTCTCATACAGCATCTCTGTATAGTCTGTGTATTCACTCTCTGTCCTACACGGCTTGTTGGAGCTCCTGCCCCCCCCCCCTCCCTGTGAGCCCACTGTGCTCTGATTGGTCAGCTCGCCCACTCTGTTCTGATGAGTCCACCACCGTTACAGCAGAACATCAGTGATTATGTGTTACAATGGCGTTTGTTAGCAACCAGGAAATGACCCCAGTAATGACAAACAGGTGAGAATGCTGCGTGGGGTCTGGGTGCCGTGTTGGGGGGACGTTGCGAGGCTCGCTGCTGCGAGGAGCGGACAGTGTGAGCTGGCTTACTGGTGTGGTTTACTTTCCTGGTTGCTGCGTGGGGTCTGCGAGACACAGCGAAACCCAGCCCGAAACCAGTGCGAGCACACACACACACTCGCAGCCTGGCTGTGAGTCTGTGTGTGTGTGCTCACAGCCTCGCCGCGTCCCGCCGTCTCAGGCTAAGAAATCTGCGGAGCTGCTCCTGAGATTGAGTGTGTGTGTGTGAGGAAGTCAACGTAACGCAACGGCTCCGTGGATTGGTCAATTTGGACCAATTGGTCCATGTGGTCGTCGTTATGTCACTTGGTTCCCGGAAGAAAAAAATGAAAAAGAGAAATGTCCAACGAGGCGTTCTGGGGCAGCAGACAGGTCTTCTCTGTGTTAGAGTTTTACTCTCTACAGGGTGCACTTTGAGGGTTAGTGACTCTGCAGACCGTTCACATGCAGAAGCTACAGAACACAAGGGGACGGGTAAGAACCAGAAAAGCATGACATGGGACCTTTAACCTGTTACGCACCGCCCCCCCGGTACCGGGCGGATAAACGCGTCATTTGCAGGAAACAACGTCTAAGGAATCTTAATATTTGATAATACTTTAAACTATGAATGTTGTATATCCATGTAACGGGAAGAAACTCAGCTAACTGATCTTTTAAAAAAAAATGTCCAAAAAAACCCCACAATGCTCAGCCTCTGAATTATCCACGAGCGAAAAAATGTAACCTCTGCACCTAAACTCACAATAACTCCCTTATTACTTATCCTAGATGCACAGCCAACCACTCGATTAGCATCTCCTGGAGACACAGAATCTAGTGGTGCCCACCTCAACACTCAGTGATAAACATTTGCGACGCTATAAACGAAAACGTACATCATAACATGTGGAGCTAGGTAGCTAGAAACGCTAACATGGCTTACCTTGGTCAAAACTGGTCTTCAATGGCATTAAAACGATAAAAAAACGATGCTGCAGTTAATCCATAGGTTCATCCAATGTGTCTGTGTCCTCTTTGAAATGATTTCTGATCATCCATAAGCAATAAAACTGCTTTTTAGTTTCCAAATGCCAGAGGGAGAGATCGGTCCACTCTGCTGCAAATTTACATGCGCGCAGCCCCCACCTCTTCTCTTCACAACGTGTGTGTGTGGGAGACTCCCCCCTTCGATTCTATTGGCTCTAACGTTCAGAAAGAGGTGTCAACCATCAAAATCGAGCAAGGGGGGCCAGAGATATGGAAAAAAAACCATTTTCACCCAAATCACCTCAGAGGTGGGGGTTTTTGGCTAAACCTCTCTAAAAAGGTCAAATGTCACTTGTTTTGCATCAATCTTGATACAGGGTACTTATTATATGTTGTACTTTGGATTCCTAAAGCTTTTAGTCTACTAACCCATCATCCAAGGGTAGTTTTCACTATAAGTACAAAATAATTTTTGGACGGACACTATAATTTACAGTTTTTTACTATGTAAAATCTAAATTTTCTTTAAAATAAAAAACATCTATATTGATTCTGACACTTCTACATCCAACTCACAGATGTAACCTTGCTTTGATAAAAGACATTATTCATATAACCCTTTTAGAAGTTAAGTTGTAGTCATTTGTTTTGGGCATGTCATTTTCGAGCCTGAAACATGAAAAACAGGCTTGGTGCTTAACAGGTTAAGAAAGAAAGATTGAACCTGTGGGGTCAGAGGGAGAGACTGTGAGGTCGCTCTTTGTTTAACGCTTTGAGTTTCTGAAGAAGACAAGCTTAGTGGGCTGATTTAAAAAAATAAATGGTATAAAAGTGAAGGATAAAAGCATCACTTCACTTTAGAGCACTGTCTGAGTGACACTTTGAGGTGCTCTGCTTTATGTGTAAATGCAACAGATTATTCACACTATTACACTTTATTGTTTTAAGTCAGAATTCTGAAACATTTCAAAATGTTTAATTAGAAAGTCTAAATTATTATAAAAAAGATAAAAGTCAAAATTCTAAGAAAAAAATCTGAATACTGAAAAATTCCCTAAATTCTAAAAGAAACTCAAAACTCTAAAAAAGTGAGAAAACGGAAGAAATAGAAAAAATAATTCTAAATTGTGAGAAAAAGATCCTAGAGTTCTGAAAAAAGATCCGATGCAAGATGCTGCTTTATACTTTCACTACACTTATTATTTAATGTAATGTTTTTTAAGCGTCAGTGACTCTTCAGGTGAACAGCTGTTCTCTGTGTTCTGATCTGAGCGCCTCTTCATATCTTCACACACACAGCCTGATGATTTAGTTTATTGAAGTTCTTCATGAACTCAACAAACAGCGCCTGAGTTCTGCGTCGGTGTTCCAGCTGCTTCAGTTTCAGTTTCAGTGTTCAGGGGAAACCACAATCTGCAGCTCCCCGCCAGCTGGCAGCTGATTGGCTGCTGGGTCTCTGTGTAACGCTTCATTTCCTGCCGGCTGGCAGCTGATTGGCTGCTGGGTCTCGCTGCACTTCCTGTCAGGGAGACGAGTCGTCGGCTCAACGTCGAGAAGAACTGAAGCTCAACGTCGAAAAGAAGACGGAACCGACCCGAAGAACGTGAGCAGAGACGATCTGTTGGAGGAACCGTTCTGTGAGAGACGTTCTGTGAGAGACGTTCTGTTAGAGGAACCCTGTGTTAGTGTGCCGGACCATGAGAGGGAACCCGAGCCCCCCTGAGCTTCCTCACCAGTCGGCCTTGTACCGCTGGAACCTCTACAGGAGAACCGGGCTCAGGTCCGCCCCCCCTCCGGTTCCCCAGCAGCCGTTGGACCGCTACCAGTGGAAAACATCTGCTCATCTGGAACCAGCCCTCCCGAGGATCTCCCCACACCACGAGAACCAGAACCAGGACCAGGACCAGAACCAGGACCAGGGCAGACGCAGAACCTTCCTGAGGTCCGTATCTGAGCCCGGTGCAGACAGGAAGTCGCAGAGGAGAACCGTCAGCAGCTTCCTGTCCAGGATCAGCAGAACCCACCGATCCCGAGAGTCCGGTAGGAGAGAGAACCTCGATCCGTCAGAACCTCTTTAGGGTTCTACTTTATCACAACAGCAGCAGAGGAATAATGATAATAATCTATTTTATGAATAAGCGCACTTTTCATCAGAGTAAACACTCAGAGTGAAATGGTTGAAACAAAACAACAAAAACAGATAAAACAACAAAATAAAAGCAGCGATGTTTACGCCGGCGTGGAACAAGTGGAGGTTCTAAGTAAAAGGCTAATAATACAGGTTCTCAAAGTCGCTTTACAGAGGGAGGAAAAAAGGACAGGAGGAAAACAAATTCAATTAAAAAAACGTCTAAATTATTATAAAAAACATAAAAGTCAAAATTGTAAGAAAAAAATCTGAATACTGAAAAATTCCCTAAATTCTAAAAGAAACTAAAAAAAAAGAAAAGTGAGAATTCAGAAGAAATAGAAAAAATAATTAAACTAAATTAGGCTTTATACTTGAATATGGTTTAAGGAAACAAACAGCCTGCATCCCAGCGCTCTGTAAGGTTGACTTTATCTTGTTAGCAGCTCATCCCTTAAAACAGAAGCTTCAGTTTGATAATAAGAGGAAATATGAAGGGTGTATTTCAAGGTTGTTATGGAAATAAGTTATTGGGCTTTTTTCTAATTAACTAAGATTTGTTAGAAAATGTTTTCAACTTTAATTGACTGAATTTATTTTAAAAGTGGGCTAATTATACATGCCCAGAACAAGTGACTATATCTTCACTTCTAAAAGGGTTACATTTAAAAAAAAAAAAAGCAATGATACACCTGTGAGTTGGCTGTAGAAAAGTCAGAATACAATATAGTTCTGTTAGAGGAGAAGAATATTTTGGCACAGGCAGATTTGACCTTTCTCAGGAACCACACTGTAACACTCATTGTATTCCACTGAAATATCACTAAAGGTATTCATTCCATTTAAACCCAACTGTTTTTGACGTCCACATGAACACTACTGTGTAATATATTTGTACGTTTATATTTAAGAAGTACAATATAAGAAAAGCTCAAGTTTCATTTGTGGGCCGTATTCCATTATACTTTTTTAATTTGCTGACGGCTGATTCAAAATGTACTTTGGACCCCCTGTTGTGTGTTGAGTGTGTTTTGATGAGCGGATCTCCATGTTTCTCACTTTGTGGCGTTCACTCTCTTCAGACTCTTCTTCCTGTTTGAATATTATCTTGTAGTGTTTGGTGGCGACCTTGAATATATCCAGTTGTTTGAAGGGATGTTTTCATGCTGTTCGGGGTGAAAGATGATGGTTTTTGATGTGATGAATGATGGTTTTTGACGTGATGGTTTTTGACGTGATGAATGATGCTTTTTGACGTGATGCTTTTTGACGTGATGCTTTTTGACGTGATGAATGATGCTTTTTGACGTGATGCTTTTTGACGTGATGAATTATGGTTTTTTACGTGATGCTTTTTGACGTGATGAATGATGCTTTTTGACGTGATGCTTTTTGACGTGATGAATGATGCGATGCTTTTTGACGTGATGAATGATGGTTTTTGACGTGATGAATTATGGTTTTTGATGTGATGGTTTTTGACGTGATGAATGATGGTTTTTGATGTGATGGTTTTTGACGTGATGAATGATGGTTTTTGACGTGATGAATGATGCTTTTTGACGTGATGAATTATGGTTTTTGACGTGATGAATTATGGTTTTTGACGTGATGAATGATGGTTTTTGATGTGATGGTTTTTGACGTGATGAATTATGATTTTTGACGTGATGAATGATGGTTTTTGACGTGATGAATGATGGTTTTTGATGTGATGGTTTTTGACGTGATGAATGATGGTTTTTGACGTGATGAATCATGGTTTTTGACGTGATGAATTATGGTTTTTGATGTGATGGTTTTTGACGTGATGAATGATGGTTTTTGACGTGATGAATGATGGTTTTTGACGTGATGAATGATGGTTTTTGACGTGATGAATCATGGTTTTTGACGTGATGAATTATGGTTTTTGATGTGATGGTTTTTGACGTGATGAATGATGGTTTTTGATGTGATGGTTTTTGACGGGATGAATGATGGTTTTTGACGTGATGCTTTTTGACGTGATGAATTATGGTTTTTGACGTGATGCTTTTTGACGTGATGAATGATGCTTTTTGACGTGATGAATTATGGTTTTTGATGTGATGGTTTTTGACGGGATGAATGATGGTTTTTGACGTGATGCTTTTTGACGTGATGAATGATGCTTTTTGTCGGGATGAATGATGCTTTTTGACGTGATGGTTTTTGACGTGATGAATGATGCTTTTTGACGTGATGCTTTTTGAGGTGATGCTTTTTGACGTGATGAATTATGGTTTTTGACGTGATGCCTTTTGACGTGATGCTTTTTGAGGTGATGCTTTTTTAGGTGATGCTTTTTGACGTGATGAATTGTGCTTTTTGACGTGATGCTTTTTGAGGTGATGCTTTTTGACGTGATGAATGATGCTTTTTGACGTGATGAATTATGGTTTTTGACGTGATGCTTTTTGACGTGATGAATTATGGTTTTTGACGTGATGCTTTTTGACGTGATGAATGATGCTTTTTGTCGGGATGAATGATGCTTTTTGACGTGATGGTTTTTGACGTGATGAATGATGCTTTTTGACGTGATGAATTATGGTTTTTGACGTGATGCCTTTTGACGTGATGCTTTTTGAGGTGATGCTTTTTTAGGTGATGCTTTTTGACGTGATGAATTGTGCTTTTTGACGTGATGCTTTTTGAGGTGATGCTTTTTGACGTGATGAATTATGGTTTTTGACGTGATGAATTATGGTTTTTGACGTGATGCTTTTTGACGTGATGCTTTTTGAGGTGATGCTTTTTTAGGTGATGCTTTTTGACGTGATGAATTGTGCTTTTTGACGTGATGCTTTTTGACGTGATGCTTTTTGAGGTGATGCTTTTTGACGTGATGAATTATGGTTTTTGACGTGATGCCTTTTGACGTGATGCTTTTTGAGGTGATGCTTTTTTAGGTGATGCTTTTTGACGTGATGCTTTTTGAGGTGATGCTTTTTTAGGTGATGCTTTTTGACGTGATGAATTGTGCTTTTTGACGTGATGCTTTTTGACGTGATGCTTTTTGAGGTGATGCTTTTTGACGTGATGAATTATGGTTTTTGACGTGATGAATTATGGTTTTTGACGTGATGCCTTTTGACGTGATGCTTTTTGAGGTGATGCTTTTTTAGGTGATGCTTTTTGACGTGATGCTTTTTGAGGTGATGCTTTTTGACGTGATGCTTTTTGACATGATGAATTTATCCATATCCATAAAACTAGTAATTCATTCAGTCATTCACTCATTCATTCATTCAGTCAGTCATTCACTCATTCATTCACTCAGTCAGTCATTCAGTCATTCATTCATTCATTCAGAGTCTGAAGGTTAACTTATGCTGATTGCATTTTGCACGAGAACGTCACATGTTGTACAGACGTTATATTCACAGCCAGACAATAGGGTGTGTGTGTGTGTGTACAGCGGACGCCTTTGTTCAAACATAATGAGTCAGGGGCATATTGTGTCTGCATGCTCAAGCTTATAATACATAATATTAAAGGTCACCTCTCATGCTATTTGTAGGCAATAGCATAGGTCTCAGATATATAAAAATATATAAAAAACATGTCTATGAAGTGTTTTGGTCAAAATACCAAACAGATCACCCATTCTAGCCATGCCTCATATCCCTCTATTTCACTTCCTGTTTCAAAAGGGCTGATTTGGGGAATAAAGCTTTAAAAAATAAAAATAATTGATAATAAATAAACCCGGCGGGACCCGGCAGCTACTGTCTAAACTAAATACTGCCGTGATGAAACGCCATATCATGGATTATCAAGGATTGTTTCTGAAACAGTATGGAGCTCAAAGGCTTTCTCTCTTGCCGGTTATACCACAAGGTGAGTTCCTTTTTATTTCCTGCTTCTTCACACACATGATTGCATGATAGGTCCCCTTTAAGATAAACACAGGGTTTACTTTATTGATCCCAATCTGGGAAATGTTTTCCTCACAGCAGCACGTCAACCAGGCTCTGTGCAGTATTTTCACCTGAAAGTGAACGGGCTGTAAAGTGACGTTGGCGCCCTTGTGCTATATCTCTCTCTGGAAAACCCCTGATATTTGTACACAGCTGATCTGTAACCACTGTCAATAAACTAGTTCGGTCACCTTACCTTTATCACAGGTAGCACCATCAACCTATCAGCTTTAAGGACTAAAACCGTAAAGGGGACCTATCATGCAAAATGCACTTGTGTACGTCTTTTCTACATGAATATGTGTCCCCGGTGTTCCAGGGAACTCACCAAGTGTCAGAAAACACAACCCTCTCTATTTTCCTCCATACCCAAATCTCTAAAAAAGGGGCTGCAACGGATCTGATAAAAACTGATCCAGATTTGAACACTGTCCTGACGTCAGGACGGTGGCGCTACGGCTATTGGGCCAACTCTCCACCAATCAGGAGACAGCCACGGCCATTGCCGTTCGAAAGCGCTGGAGACGCTGTAGTACATATGCCAGGCCTGTAAGTGGCGCTGTAGTCTGCCACAAAAGCAGTGAAGAAGACTTGGTTACCATGGTTACCCTTCTGTTTATTCTCCGCTGTGGCTTTCTTTCTCCCTCCCCGAGGCAAGCGTTTGCTCCCGCTGCTTTAATTCAATGCAATCCCTCCCCGTCGAGGCAAGCACTGTAATTCTCTCCGGTTAGTCCACCAGCAGATGACAAACACCCACCTCTCCGCCTCTTCCAAGGAACCAGGGGACCGTGCGGCAGAGTTTCAGTTTCAGTTTCTTTCGCCGGTCAAGATGTCCGTTAAAGTTTAAATCTTCCGGACAAAATGATAAAAGTGCCGGTCAAAGGTCTTCTTTGTTATTTATTGAGCTTTAAAACAAATGAATAACGACTCTATATAATAAAACACGGAGGACGGAGATCTCTTTTTCT